ACATCTGGCTGTGAAAAGCAGCAGGGTTTCTGTCTGCCAGGGAGAGATGGCTAGAAATGCAGGCCCCCTCTTAAAGAGTCAACACACACAAAGTTTAGTGTGCAGCCACTCACCTTGGGCTCCAGCAGAAGGAGGGCAGAGTGGACTGGAGCTGTGTGAGGAGAATCTGGGGTTGTAGGCTCTGGAGGTTGACATCAGAAGGCACCCATCTTGATTCCTGTGCCCAGTCATTCCCCCATACTGCACAGGACATCTTTCTCAGGCAGACATTTTGCTGCTTTTGCCTGGTAGAGAAAAGTAATTGCCCCACCCTGCTGGAAAATCTCTCCCCTACCCGGTTTAGTTTCTACAGCCTGAAGCTCATTAAGAGAATGAGATTAATCAGCCTGCAGCCTGCGGGAAATTCAGAATGATCTGAGTCTTTGTTTGATCCACTTCTGAACCTTGACCTTAGCAAAGTAGACTTTGTTGTGCATGTTGGTCCTTTCCAACCACACCCAGCCTCAGCAGAGGAGATCTCAAGGCAAGGGAGGCAAGGGATGTTGATCACTTCAAACAGGGTACTCAGGGCCAGTCACAAACTGTGTCTGACATTGGCCTTCACCAGAGACCTTCCAAAAGACTATGAGTCCTAGTAGATCTACTAATACATAGAAACAAACCCAAATAAGCAGCCAAAATGGGGAGATAAAAAAGCAAGCCCCAAATGAAAGAACAAGAGAAGTCTCCAGAAAAAAGAGCTAAATGAAATGGAGGTAAACAATCTATCAGATACTGAGTTCAGAATACTAATTGTAAGGATGCTCAACAGCATGAAAAAAGATATGGAAACTATGAAGGAAATTAAGAATGACATAGCAGAAATAAAGAATACACTGGAAGGAATAAACAGCAGATTAGAGGAAGCTGAGGTTCGGATCAGCAAGTTAGAAGATAGGGTAGAAAAAAATCACTCAATCAGAGAGCCAAAATGAAAACACAATTAAAAAACAGGAGGACAGTCTAAGGGAGCTGTAGGACAACGTGAAACATACCAATATTCGCATCATGTGATTAGAAGTAGAAATAAAGAGAGAGAGAAACATAGGCATAAAGAATTAAAATGGCAAGAGATAAGTATCAATAATAACCTTAAATGTAAATGAATTAAATGCTCCAATAAAAAGATATAGGGTGGCTGAATGGATAAGAAAACATGACCCAAATATATGCTCTCTTTAAGAGACCACCTCAAAACAAAAGACTCACACAGGATGAGAGTGATGGAAAAACATTTTCAATGCAAAAGGAAATAAAAAGCTGGGGTAACAACACTCCTATCAGACAAAACAGACTTCAAAATGAAGTCCATAACAAGAGACAAGAAAGGTCACTACATAATACTAAAGGGATTGAGCCAACAAGAGGATATAACCCTGATAAACATATATGCACCCAATACAGGAGCACCTAAATTTACTTTAAAAACTTCTAGAGGACTTTAACGGAGAGAGCTACAGCAATACAGTCATACTAGGGGACTTTCACACTCCACTGATTTCACTGGATAGGGCTTCCAGACAAAAAATCAACAAGGAAACAGTGACCCTAAATGACACACTAGATCAGATGGGTTTAATTGACATTTACACAACATTCCACCCACAAAACTGCAGAATATACATTCTTCTCAAGTAGATGAGTGGATAAAAAAGATGTGGTACATTTACACCATGGAATACTATGCAGCTGTAAAAAAGAAGGATTTCTTATCCTTTGGGACAGCATCAAGGGAGCTGGAGAGTATTATGCTTAGCAAAATAAGCCAGACAGAGAAAGACAAGTACCACATGATCTCACTCATATGTGGAATGTAATAAACAAAATAAACTGATCAACAAAACAGGTCCAGAGAAAGGAAGCATGGAACAGACTGAGGGATCTTAGAGGGAAGGTGGGGGTAGGGGAGTGGGTGGGGAGAGATTAATCAAAGAACTTCTATGTTTATAAGCATAACCCATGGACACAGACATTGGTATGGGGAAGGCCTAGGGNCTATGGACACAGACTTTGGTATGGGGAAGGCCTGGAGGTAAGATGGATGTGAGGTTGAGGAGAAAAAGGAAACACCTGTCATACTTTCAACAATAAATTTAAAATAAAATAAAATAAATAGGATTAGTCAAGGACTAATGGGGTGATTTTGAGCAAAGATCTGAAGGAAATGAGGTAGAAAAACATGTGGTATTTTGGAAAAGAGCAAACATCTGGATCAGAGGAAATAGAAAGTGCAAATTTCTTGGAAGGAGAACATGTCTGGTGTGTCTGAAGAACAGCAAGGAGAGAAATGTGATTGGAACAAGTAGTAAGGTAGAGAATAACAGGAAATGAGGTCAGACAGGTGAAGAGGACCAGACTATATAAAGGCTGTAGGATACTGAAATGACACTGGTTTTCACTTTGTAAGCAATAGTTGGTCATCCCATGGAAGGTTCTGAGCAGAGAAGTGGTATGATGTGACTAGATTTTAATAGGACTGATCTGGTTGCTGTGTTGAGAACTGACAGTGGAAATATATTATTCAAGAAGTTCTGGCAATAATCCAATTAAACATGTTTATTTGGAAAAGAGTGGTTTCAGTGGACGGAGACAGAGGAAGAGAGTGGATTATGGATATACTATAATTTAAAGGGTAGATTCAATAGAATATTTTTTTACATCATCATTTAATGGATCACTTCTCATAATGGCACTAATAAACATTAGCTATTATTACATCATTTGGCAAGTCCATGGCAGATGTGATCGAAACTCAAAGCTAAATCCCAAGCTGTATTTAGTAACTTGCTGGCTTGCTCTAGCTGAGCATATCTTTTTCCTATTAAGACCTTCGTTATAAGAATGAAGCCTCTTTAGTGAGATTTCAAAGCAAGATTTCTAAAAACATCTTCAAGTTCTGAATTCTTTGCATAATGCCCTACTTAATCACAAAGAAGGGTTATTACAATTCCATCCATGCCCCAAGTCCCCCTTTACATTTCTATCCCTTTTCCTGGGTGCAAGCTTGTTCTTGGCAAGAGGGTTAACCTGACATTGTCTGTTTCACTTAAATGTTGCTTCTGTCTTCATCCCCATGGAGCCACATGCCCCTTGATAGCCCAAGCTCCGGCCAGCTTTGTAACTCCAAGTGTATCTTGATCCAGATTCACCTACTTCCTCTCCTTAGAAGTCCCTTCCCTATGACTGTCTGCCCATCTACTGGCCACACCCTAAACTCTGCCTTGCTGTCCTTTTGATGCACCTGCCAGGCCACAGCCCAGCTCTGCATGGAACCAGCCAACTGCTGGCCACCCATTGCACCGAAGTTGCACAAGAAGATAGAACACAGGCCAGTATGGGGGTAGGGTCATGCCTCCATCCTCAGCTGAGGACCCTGGGTGCCTACCCAGGGAGGCACCATGGTTGGCTCTGCTTCTGTTCTCCACAACTGCTCTTTTCACCTCCTCTGCTTGCTTCCCTCAAAACTCACCCTGCCGCTAGTTAACTCTCAGAGCTGACTTTGCCTACTACCACACCAAGCAGCTGGAAGCCATGAGGTGTGAGCTCCCTCGCCCTCCCACCAAAATCTCTGTGACTCTATAGACATCGGCCCCATCCTCTTCATCCTGCTGTCACTGGAGAAGTGTCATTCCTCCCATACAAAGTCAGCCCTCCCCTCCTCTGTGGAGCCCTGCCTCTCCGCCCATTTCAGGAACCTTCTGTTAATCATTATCCCCTCTCCTCTGCCTCTGTCCCTTTTTAAAAAAAAATTTTTTAATATATATTGTTGAAAGTATTACAGATATTCCCTTTATTTCCCCATTGGTCCCCTCCCCTCCACCAGACCTTCCCCATACTACTGTCTGTGTCCACAGGCTGATGGATGGGATAGGGGAGCGATTTTCAACCTTTTTTATCTGATGGCCCACATAAACGAATTACTAAAATTCTGTGGACCACCACAAAATATACTTTTTACCAAGCTGACAAAAAAATTTTTAAAATTTTGATTCATTCACACTAGGTGGCTATTATTGAGTTGGCTGTTGTCATATTTTATTTGATGATCTAAGGGAAAAGAGGTCAGTGCCCCTGACTAAATAGTCAGGTATTGCACGGTTTAAAACTTAGTGCAGCATGCCCATGGAAAAATCACTGGGACTGGGGTACAAAAGGGAAATGTTTTCAATCTATGATTTTATGTACAGTAAATATTTGTGTTTGTTTTATTTTTTTAATTTAAGTTAACAAAATATAAACTAATTTTACTCACCCCCCCATTGATTCCCTCGACCCTGCATTCACCCCACCCCCAGGCCTTTCCCATACTATTATCTGTGTCCATGGGTTATGCATTTATGCCCATAGGTTCTTTGATTAATCTCTCTCCACCCACTCCCCCACCCCCATTTTTCCTCTGGGATTCTTCAGTCAGTTCCATGCTTCTGTGTCTCTGGATCTATTTTGTTCATCAGTTTATTTTGTTCATTATCAAAATATTAAATTAATTAATTAATTAGATACCTATGTTCTAGGCAGAGGAGAAGGTGTTAAGTCAATCCAATTTGTCTTTAATTTACCAAGACTTTAGGAAAGCCTAATAATAGGGGAAATTAGGCACAGAAAAAATAGATATCTTAAATATATCCCCTGTGAATAGATTCTGCTACATTAGGAAGGCATTTATTAAATGTAAGTAAAGGTTTTCAAACAATATGTAAAGCACAGAACTTAATTCTTACCTGAATATTTGAAGAATAAGAATTCCCAGATCCTTGATTATACAAATAAACCATAAATTTATCTGCTAAAAATAATCTGAATGTAAAAAAGAATGAGGGAATTTTTTAAATTACTCATTTTGAAACATATAAAGTAGCAGCAAGCAAGCTAACACACTCAGACCAAATCTGACCTATCCTCCTCTGTTTTTGTAATAGTTTTATGGGAACACAGCCACAGCCATTGACTTAAGCATGGTCAATGGCTGCTTTCCTGCTACAACAGCAGAGCTGAGTCATTTTAACAGACATTTATGGCCCTCAAAGCTTTAGAGAAAGGCTTTAGAGAAAAAGTTTGCCAACCATTATATAGTGTTTTCTTTTGACATTTAAGTAAGTTTTATTCAAATCAATGCACATTTAGTCAAAATAATTTTCCAGCTTAATGGACTCCTTTAAAGAAAATAAGAAAAAAGGACTACAAAATGAGAGAAAAGCATTTTAAAATTTACACAGATATGAACTGGCTGTAGGATTATGAGGGTTGTCTGTTCTTACATTTATCTCTAAATTTTAGTGCCATGAACTCCTATTTCCTTTATAATGAAGTAAACGAGTATTGTGTAAGAGTCAGAACAATCTGAACACAGGTCTAAGTTCAGCCTTCTCTGGTACCACTGCCTGTATTTACCATGCTGTTTTCATTAGACCTCCTTACCTCGTGCTCACTCCTCCATCCAATGTATCATAAGAGACCACCCAGACCAGTTTCTGTTGGGCATCCTCCACAAAAACTGATCTCATATAGATTAATTACCTAATGACCTTCTAGCTGTCAAATCCAAAAGGCAGTTTCAAGTCAAGTAAAACTACTCTTATACACTTGGCACTGCTGAGCACATTCCCCTTCTTTAAACCACCTACTCTTCAACTTCAATCATACCATCCATTTCCCCCTGGTTTTCCTCATATCTTTCTACTTCTGTAAATCCTTTCATCTGGATCCTTGCTTCTTCCCTTAAGTGTTTCCAAGGCATTCATCTGTGGGTTGTTTTCCTTCTCACCTTGAATAGTCGCTCCCACCTCTATAGATTTAGCACGTTCATTCTTGGTGCTTCATTTTAACCTACACCTCTCTTTCATGTTCTAAACTAAATCTACATGCCAACTACACATTACTCCTGGGATATCCCACAAGCACTTCATATACAACCTCTCCANAAACCTACACAAAACAATGGTTATAAAACCCACATCTCTCTTTCATTTTCTAAAACTAAATCTACATGCCAACTAGACATTACTCCAGGGATATCCCACAAGCACTTCATATACAACTGCTCCAAAAATAAACCTATATCTGCCCCCACTAAATCTCTGTCACAACTCGCTGTATCCAATCCGTTAGCTAATCTTTTTCCTGTCACCTCAGTATTTCTCAAAAAAAAAAAAAAAAATCCCTACCTCCACACACTCACAGTTCTGCTTCTCATTATTTCTCACATAAATTATTTGCAATAACATAATTGGCATTATGCTGTCATAACCATTGTGCAGGTAATTTCCCAAAACAATATGCACATCCTCTATCCATATCCCATGGTCCAGTCCCTACGTTTCTTACCACTGTTCATAGTCCTGATAAGATGTTCCAATGTGGTGTGAGTTCTCTCACTTTCCCTCTTAAACACTTGAAAAGCTATTTGTGTTATCATTTACCACATTCTTCCCTTCTGTCTACAGGAATAGGTTAATTCTTCCTTCACTCAATGCCATTCTTTGGCATCTTGCACAATGAATCACTTGTTCACACATCTCTCTTTAAGAAACTTCCCCTCAGCCAAAAAATTTTGTTTCTTCTTTCTTAGAAAGCACTCATCTGACCTTTTCTTTCTCCTTTCTCTGCCCAATGTTCTCAATAAGTAACTTANTGTTCATCTGACCTCCTCTTTCTGCTTTCTCTGCCCAATGTTCTTGATAAGTTATTTACACTTATTATTTTTGGTCTCAAAATTAGCCTCTCCTTCATTCCATGTAGTCTAGTTTTACACCCAAAATTTAACTGAAATTGACCTCTTGAAATCACAAATTACTTCCAATCTACCTTTTCACAACTGGGGTGCCATTACAGAATTAAATCCTACAAAATGTTATTGCAATCATTTTCTCACTTNCTACAGAATTAAACCCTACAAAATGTTATTTCAATCATTTTCTCAACTCTCTGAAAGATGACACATACATAGTTAGCACTATTTTCCATTAATGATTCACTAGTTCCCACAGTGTATTATCTAATTTCTGTATTAAATCTCTTATTCCACATCCCTGATGGTGAGCCTGCCTCCCTGATCAATTCTTAATATAATCAGTTACAGACTTAGTTCTTATTTTGACATCCTGCTTTGATTATACTGGTCCTGCTGGTTCTACCAACTTAACATCATATAGATTAATGTTCAAGAGATGAGTATCTATTCCTGTTCCTAAACCCCTATTCACAAAAGGCTACTTTCATGAAAACTAGGACCAAAAATTTCATTAATTCACAGAAGAGCATCGGTTCATCTAAGACAACAAAAAATTTAATAATACTATTTATTACTGTAATAGCCCATTTTTATTATAAGTAAACAAATTCACATAAATAAAATGAAATCCAAAACTAAAGAATTAAAAACTTACCTTTGCTTTAGGTGGACGGTACATGGTTTCCCATCTATTGGAATAATATAGGATATCTGTTTCTAAAAAGTCCAGAACAACTGAGAGTAAAGACAAATGTAATAGAATAAGCAAAACAACAATTTTATATCAATTAATCCCTCCAAACAATGCTTAAAATGTCTTCATTAAAACATCTCAGACTATTTGTGATTTGAAATCTGCAACAACATATCTAAAGTTTTAAAGACCAAAGGTAGCTGAATGGTTTTTTAAATGAGTACAACTTTAGCACCCTGAGGTTTCAGTTATATAAAAGTATTTACCAGTATGTTTGTAAAATTTGTATGGGGGACACTCCTTTTTCAGGTATCTAGATCTTTTTAGAAGTGGTGGAAATTGGCAGCTGGGGTACCTCACTCTAGAATGATATCTGTCACTTTATATGATAGCTGCACTTTATAAATGGTGGTTAAATGGAGCTGTTCACGCCCTTTTTTCATTGTGATGCACAATGCAACTTAAATAAGTGCTTCTATCAAAGCATTCCTTCAGTAAAATATGTACAGTTTACTGCTCATGATGAGCAAGAAATGAGTATTTATCATTGGGTTTATTTGAATTATTAGAATGAGATTCAGTGCCCATATCTTAATAGGTCGGTTATCTCCAGTGCTGTTCTCATCCTGTTAGAGTGAGTCACTTGCAGGGAGTGTAAAATCAGGGGTGGCTTATTATCCAGTCTGCCTTACCCTTAATCTGTTCATAGATATTTATTTAGCAATGATTTTTTCTTAAGAGTTATGCGATAGGAAAATGAAGTGTTTGCTCTTCATTTACTAAATAACTGTAAACTCAAGTTTTTCATCAAAATAAAACTCCAGCATTTATTATATAATACATTCTATTTCCACAAAAAAATAAGCACAACATAAGGATTTATATAGTATTAGAAATCTATATGTAACTGAATTTTAAGCTCCTCTGAAAGAAGACCCTATATGCTGTGCAATAATGTCTATTTAGGTGGCATCATTGGGATAAGATATATCTACATCAGTGAAACTCACTCCATTAGGCACAAAAATTATTTTAACCACTTTCCTAAAATGTACTGTCTGTTTCCTATATTTTTAAACATAAACTTCTTGAACAAAATTTGGTATTGTTTTCGACTCTATCACTACTATTCTCAAGTTAGAACACGAGGAGCAATAAGTTATAGTATCTATAGGTCGCTGAACCTGAGTGACGAGATTTTTCTCCAACAAAAGAGAACATCTGAAAAGCAACAGTTAAAGTATCATAGAAAAATAACTTAGCTAAAGCATATAAAAACCAAAGGACACAAATACCCAAAGACAGAAAAAGATAAGCCTTACAGAATCTGTGACAATAAAAAGCAATCTGGAGAGTATACAAATCAAAAAATACAACACAGCCTGGCCGGAGTGGATCAGTGGGTTGAATATGGTCCTGAACACAAAGGTTGAACATAGCTGAACAAAAGGTTTCCAGTTTGATTCCCAGTCAGGGCATGTGCCTGGATTGTGGGTTTGATTCCACAGTCTCGGCAAGCACGGAAGGCAGACAATCGATGTCTCTCTCTCTTTTTTTCTCTCCCTTCCTCTCTCTAAGCATGTCCTCAGGTGAGGATTAAAAAAAAATACAATAAGACATGTTGTTAAAAGGCCTAATAACTGGTGAAAAATGAAGCAGAAGGTTAACATCACTGGTGATGTCAAGTTGATATCAGGTATCCCTATTAAGCCATAATGAGAAGAGAGTACTTAATCTCTATTGTAATCTTCCCTAAAACTCATAACCATGCACCACAGACATGAGTACATGTATGTTTTTATCTTGGCCTACTTCCTTCTCAATACAAACTGGATGACCAGGTGTACCACCTGAGGCTCTCCCACTGGAAGGAGATCCCCTATCCACCGTCTTCAAGGGACAACACTGATAACAGGGGTAGAGACACAACAATCCAGTTTTGATTTGTATCGATATACGAAGCTAACTCATTAATGAACAAAACTCAGTTTATGTTTTCTTCTTTCATTATATGCTAATAGAGATCCTCATGAGTCCGTAGGTATAAGCTGAGAGAGGCACCATGTCACAGTACAGGATGACATGAAGATCCAGTCATGCAACTTACTTGTGCCCTCTAGGCCTGTAGTCTCAGATATATTGTCCTTGCGCCCAGCCAACTTTATGATCTGGTGAATCTAATAACACTTGCTATGCTTTTTAATTAATTTTTTAAAACTTATTTTTATTGTTGAAAATATTACAGATGTCCCTTTATCTGCCCATAACCCCTTCGACCCCACACCCACTCCCCACCCCAGGCCTTCAACACACTATTGTCTGTTATGCATGGGTTATGCATATATGCAATAAAGTCTTTAGTCTCTCCAAACCCACCTTCCCTCTGAGGTTCCTCAGTCTGTTCCACGTTTCGATGTCACTGAATCTATTTTGTTCATCAGTTTATTATGCTTTTTAGATTCCACATATAAATGAGATCATGTGGTATTTGTCTTTCTCTGCCTGACTTATTTTGCTTAGCATAATACTCTCCAGGTCCACCCATACTGTCCTTCTTCTTCCCAGGTACATAGCATTCCATGGTGTAAATGTCCCACGGCTTTTTTATCCACTCATCTACTGATGGGCACTTGGGCTGTTTCCAGGTCTTAGCTATTACAAATTGTGCTGCTATGAACATAGGGGTGCATATATTCTTTCTGATGAGTGTTTCAAGATTCTTAGGATATAGTCCTAGAAGTGGGATCATTGGGTCAAAAGGCAGCTCCATTTTCACTTTTTTGAGGAACCTCCATACTGTTTTCCATAGTGGCTGCACCAGTCTGCATTCTGACCACCAGTGGACCAGGATTCACTTTCTCCACATCCTCACCATCACATGTCGTTTGTTGATTTGTTGATGGTAGCCATTCCTACAGGTGTGACATGATACCTCATGGTGGTTTTAATTTGCATCTCTCTGATGATTAGCGACATTTGAGCATTTTTTCATACGTCTCTTGGCCATCTGTATGTCCTCTTTGGACAAGTGTCTATTCAGGTCCTTTGCCTATTTTTTAATTGTATTGTTTGTCTTCCTCTTGTTGAGTAGTATGAATTCTGAATACACTTTGGAAATTAGGTCCCTATCAGATACATTCTTGGCAAATATGTTCTCCTAAATCCTGGGGTTCCTTTGTATTTTGAGGATGATTTCTTCTGCTGTGAAGAAGTTTTTTACCTTGATACAGTCCCATTTGTTTATTTTTTCCTTTGTTTCTCCTACCTTAGGAGATGTATGAGTGAAATTTCCACTATGTGAGATGTCTGTGACTTGACTACCTATGTTTTCTTCCAGGATTTTTATGGTTTCATGACTTACATTTAAGTCTTTTATCCACTTTAAATTTATACTTATGTATGGAGTAAGTTGGTGATCTAGTTTCATTTTTTTGCATGTACCTGTCCAACTTTCCCAGCACCATTTATTGAAGAGACTGTCTTTACTCCATTGTATGCTCTTGCCTCCTTTGTCAAATACTGATTGACCATAATGGTTTGGGTCCACTTCTGGGGTCTCTGTTCTGTTCCATTGATCTTTATGTCTGTTGTTGACCAAAACCAGACTGTTTTGATTATAATGGCTTTGTAGCATACTTTGATAGCCAGTAAAGTGATCCCTCCAACTCTATTCTTTCTCAAGATGGCTGCAGCTATTTGGGGTCTTTTTTGGTTCCATATAAATTTTTGGAATATTTGTTCTAGCTTTATGAAATATGTTCTTGGTATTTTAATAGTGATCAGACAAGAAGAAAACATAATAGGTATCAATATTGGAAAGGAGAAAGTAATACTGTCATTACTTGCAGATGACATGACATTGTACGTAGAAAACCCTAGAGACTGCACCAAAGTACTACTAAATTTGACAAATGAATTCAGCAAGGCAGCTGGATACAAAATTAACATACAAAAATCGATGGCATTTTTATACACCAACAATGAACTCTCAGAAAGGGAAACTAAAAAAACAGTATCATCTACCATTGCAACTAAACAAATAAGATACCTAGGAATAAATTTAACCAAGGATGTAAAAGACTTGTACTTGGAAAACTACAGGACTGAAAAAAGAAATAGAGGAAGATATAAACAAGAGGAAGACTATACCATGTTCATGTACTGGAAGAATTAATATCATTAAAATGTCCATATTACCCAAAGCAATCTATAGATTCGATGTAATAACACTTGTTCTTGATGGGTAGTTCTGGTTGCACAGTCATTTACCACATGGTCAGAATCACAGTCCCTTTCAAAGACCAGTAGCAACTGCTTTCTGAGTGGTATATAGTTCTCTAATAAAGACAAAGTAGCCTTGCCCCAGAAGCCCAAAATTCTGCACCAAAACTCTCGTATTAGGGCTTGACTGAGACTCTACAAAGCACTTATTTATACCATAAATACTTTGAGGGCCATGGAGTCTCCTGGTTCATGTAGCCCAGGCAGCAAAGATGCCAGTACTGCAACCTGGATCTCATGTAGAGCTTTCTTACTTTGGAAGTCCTCTAAATCATTCAATAAATGAGTCAGGGTAGCATTCTCAAGTGAAAATTACGCTGCCTCAAAAACCAAAAAAGGCCTACCAAGTCTTGTGGCCCTTTCTTAGTAACAGAAGGCCCAAGGTGCAGCCATCTGTTCTTTACTTTGGAGGGAATGTTGCAGCATGCCACTTCCCCGTAGACCCCTAAAAATGTCATTGAGGCATTTTAAATGCAATCAGCAAAAAAAAAAAAACTCATAAAATTTGATAAATTGTATGTCATTAAAATTGAAATAGTTGGTGCTTCAAAAAATACCAAAGAGAAAATGATAAGGCAAGACACAAATTGAGAGAAAATAACTGCAAATCACATTTCAGATAAAGAATTTGTATCTAGAATATATAGAGACTTCTTATAATTCAGAAATGAAGAGGAAAACAATCTAATTAAAAAATGGGCAAATAATTTAAATAAACATTTTACCAGAGAAGATATATAAATGTCTAATAGGCTCATAAAAGATGCTCAACATCATTTCTCATTAGGGTAATTCAAATTGAAGGCACAATGAAAAACACTACACACCCACTAGAATAACTTTAACCAAAAATTAGAGACAATATCAAGTGCTGACAAGTAAAAAAAATGGAGAGCTCACATATGGCTGATGGGAAAAGAAAAACTGTACAGCCACTATGGAAGAAAGTTTGGTAGTTTAAATGTTAAGCATACACTGACCATATGAAATAGTAATTTTACTCCTAAGAATCTACCCAAGAGGAAGAAAAATATATGTCCACATATAAATGTTCATAACATAATTATTCTTAATAACCAATATCAGAAAAAAATCCAGTGTGAGTGGATAAACAGAATGTGTTATCCACAACTATTAAGGAATGAAAATTTCCCTAGCCAGTCTGGCTCAGTGGTTAGAGCATTGGGCCACAGACAGAAGGGTCCCGGGTTCAATTCTAGCCAAAGGCTTGTACCTTGGTTGCAGGATCAATCCAGCCCTGTTTAGGGTGAGTGCAAGAGGCAACCAATGGATGTGTCTCTCTCACATTGGCGTCTCTTTGTCTCAGTCTCTCTCTCTCTCTCGCTTCTCCACTCTCTCTGAAAAGCAGAGGAAAAAATGTCCTTGAGTGAGGACTAAAGGAAAAAAAAAAAAGGACTACTGATAAGTGCTATAAAATGGGTAAACCTAAGTGAAAGTAGCCCAATGAAAAATATACATATCTGTCCATTTACATAAAATGTCCAGAAAAGGCAAAACTATAAAAACAGAAAACATATCAGCAGTTGCCAAGGGCTGAGAATGAAAGCAGAGAAAAACTGCAAATAGGCATGAGGGAACTTCTTAAGTCAACTGAAATGTTCTAAAAGTGGACATTGAAAATTTACATAATTCTGTTTATGTACTAATAATCACTGAGTTGTATACACTTATAAAGGGTGAATTCTGTGGTGTGCAAACTGTGCCTTAATAAAAGTGTTAAAAATAAAGTGTTATCAAAATATTGACCACTTATAAGCAAGGCTTGATTCACTGTATTTCTTCGTTTTAATTTCCTAAGACACTTAGCATATAGCTATACACATAAATCCAAAGAAATATTTGTTAAGTAAATTGATGAGTAAGATAAAGTAGCTCCCCTTTCTAACAAATATAATAGGATAAAAGGCTTCTTCTCTCTGAGAACTGGTAGGTGCTAGGGTAAAGATAGAGGAAGGACGCTTTAATTTAGAGAGATTTTTCTTAACCATCTTGGAGAAATTTATTCCCTTCATATGAATCATCTAGACATCACTCAGATAAGACCCTATTTCTTCTACATTATTTCCTTATTTGAACTTTTAATAGTTTACCACTGGGAAAAGACAAATATTAAACAATATAGAACATTCTGATGTACATATTTGCCTTTACCATCAAAACTTTTAAATTCCTTATTAGAAGCAACACTAGAAACTTATATTGATACTATAGTAAGATTTATATATTTCATTTATTCAAATTAGAANTTGATACTATAGTAAGATTTATATATTTCATTTATTCAAATTAGAAATTTCATAAAATAATATTGTGAAAAATATATATCTTACATTTTCTACTTCTGAATTATCACTTGTATTTGCTTGAA